AATGTTTTATCATTTATAATTCGTGGTAGAAATCTGTTTTGTTTTTTTTTTCGTGGTGAAATCAAAAACAGCTGCTAATTACTGTTCGCCACTCTTGTTTATTTCGTTCCTATCAAATACACAGGTGTGATTGGTTGTGCATTTCGCTTTAAATTAAGTTCTTACGGCACAGTTAAACGATACGTAACGTAAGAAATTAATTTGAAGTGAAATGCACAACCAACTAAACCTGTGTATTTCGTTTTGAATTAAAAGGCTCAGTAAAGGCAAAGAAGATAAAGAAAAGAAACTGAGAGTTGCTTGAGAAATTGTGTATAAAATCTTCTGAATAATTCAAATAATATTCAAAATTTTGAGAAATGAGGCGAAAATATCACGCAGTACAAAACCAAAAAGCCTAATGCTATACAATAGCGCATAATCATTTTCCCCACCAGGTCTTGCTATTTTGCCCACGCGGTCCCTACTCACCACGATGCTTGCTAAAATAAGAGCACATTTCGATAAATTTTGTTGTTTGTTTTGGTTTTTTTAAGTTAAAAATCCTTTAAATCCCTTAAGACATTTGTTTGTGATATTACACAAAGAGGTACAATGACTCAATATTTCCTCTCAGTTTCTTTTCTTTGTCTTCTTTGGTAAAGGCTCAGTTATACTCACACTATTCGAAAATGGTAGCCACGTACCAGACGTCATACGATCAACGTCTCTCGCTACTGTGTGTTATTGTTGTTTACTAAGTTTTTTTCCCTGTAATACTTTGTGAAGGGCAGCTGTACTTATCTTAGTACAGTGTTCGCCCAGACAGAATATGAATTTCAAAAACGAATGGACAGAAATGCTTTTACAACTAGTTAAGATTTAGTGGGTCAAAGTAATGAAATGCACTGAATTCCTTCGAGTATATAATCTTAACGATATTGCCTTAATGTTTTGAATTTTCAACTGGGTGAGAAAACGTGGTAATGTTTGCTTTCCCATGTTTTTAATACGAAATAATTTGTATATAAACCCCATATTTTCAATAAAATCGATGAACAGAGTTCAATCAAGGTTATTAATGGTTTAAATGTCTTCGTATACTAGAATTCTTGAGCAAAGTTGGTTAATTCACCAAATTTTGAAATTATAAAAAAATTAAAACCAAAAATAATAATGCTAGTAGTAATAAAACTAGTAATAATACTAGTAATAGTACTAGTTTACCATTGTCAAACCAAATTAGCTTATTTGATTAGAAGAGATCAATGTTATATCCACTGATTAACATATTTTCACATTTTTTTTAGCACGTGTATTGGAAAAATACGAAGCTTATTAGTCCAGTTTCCCACCAATAAACTATTATCAACTTTTAAGATTGGTATTTTCATTGTCATCCAAGTGGCATCTTAAGCACCAATCTTTCACTAAGAAATCAAAACTGGCAAGCAAATGTAGGGAAGAAATCGTTGGGGTAAATCCGGTCGCGAATATTTCAATTAAAGAGATTTACGGTCATAAGACTTACAGGATACCGACGGCATGGAGTTAGGCTTGACTTAAGACATGTCCAGCTCTCGAAGAAAGGACACTAAAACATCTACTGTATCTATGTCCAGATTTTTCCAGAACTAGGCTGAAGTTTCTGGGAGCCCCCTTCTTTAATACACTCAACGATATCTCCAGCTTTAGCATTGACTATACTCTCATCTTTATAAATGTCTCTGGTTGGTTCTAGCTTGACTTTTTATTTTCTACCCATTATTACGAGGATTTGTAGATTTAAAACGGCTTGGTTAGCTAATTGAGGAGGATTCATTTTCCTCCCTTCACCACAACTAACTAACTAAGGGTCATATGAACATCGAAAAAAATGAAAAAGCAAATAGTTGAGTCAGCCTGGCCGCTTCTATTGACATCTCCTGAAGGTGAGGTTATTAACAAAGACTTAGTTCACCGTCTGGATAACCGTAGTTCCTTCAGGCCAAACGTAAATAAACTGCTCCTTCTTTTCTACAGTTTTTGTAGAGGGTACAGAGCCTAGCACAAAGAAGAAGCAGTCACATATTTTCTCTTTGACAGCCCAGCTTTGACTAATAAAAGGAATAGACTTTTAGGAAAAGTTCTTAATTGATAGTCTTAATTGAGTGTGACGCTGCTCAATTAGTAAGAACGAAAGATTAATTAATCTACATAAACTTAACTGAATTGATTTAGTTTATCTGTAAAAGTTTCTAGCAAGAAAGATGGGTTCAGAACGGGAAGAAATTGCTAAGGCGGAAAGGTCGTTTAGACACTACAACCAACAAACCAACCATTTTCTATTATGAAAAAATTATCTATGATAAAAATATTTTGAAACTCGCATAATGCAATTTTCACCAAATTAGCAAACACCCCTCGAACATTAATTCAAAATCAAAAGTTTTTACGGTTATTACGGTTGGTAAGAAGTTCTAATCTCCACGTATTTCATAAGTTATTTTAAATATTCCTTATTCTCTTGCGTTTTTTATAATATACTTAAAACTGCTGAAAGAACACTTCATGATAAAGATTAAACTGTGATAACTCGAATTATTTACTAGGAGATCAGTTAAAATAGCAGAGGTTCGTATTTTTTCTCGGTCAATTTCAAAAGTTTTTTTGTTTCTAGAACATTACTAACAGTTGATTAATTTGGCGGAGAACTATAAAAACAGTATGTTTATTTTTTTCAAATTTTATTACAAGTTTGTATCTATTGTATGGATAAGTGATTCGTGACCAAGTATGTGTTATACATTCAAATCCACACATATTTAGATAAAAATATACAAACTCTTAAGCCTCAAATTTCAATGAAATAAACTAAATTCAGTAAAAAATTATATATGAAAGTAAATAGTTAGGTAGTTAGCAATTCTGATATCCTGACACTCAATAATTTGATTTTAATATATATATTTTAATCGACAATATATATAATGGAGTCATAAATCAATCTTTATTGTTGTAAAAGAAAAGAGTAAGTGTAAGGAAAGCGAATTTTATTTTAGGTATATCCGCCTTTACAATACGGTAGAGATAAGAGACCCATGTCCGATCAGTATCTGAGTGAGATACTCTTGTGTCTCCTGATTTGCGTTTGATTCACGTATTTATATAAGTTATTAGACCAACTGCCCGTCTTCTTTGTGGGCTAATGTTCCATATTTCTTGACACATTCGATGGTTTACTGCTAAGCTTCACTTGCATTAGAGCTTATTTGCTTATAGATCAATCTTATAGAGCAATGTTCTTACTTAAACTAATTCCGTCGAAGCAGAGCGATATGGTAATATAATACGAAGAGCCGCCGTTTTATGCACCCCTAATCCGCGTCATCATAGTCGTTTCAATTTACATTTATTGAAATATCAATTATTTTTTAAGAAAATCTCATCTCTAAATTAATACTAAATATGTTTCATACATTAATTCTTTATTTGACAAAAGTTTTTTTAAATGAAATTATCTAGCTATCATGCACCGATCTTTCTATAATTCGCATTTATACTCATTTCTTACTTCTTTTTCGAAAAGGAAAAAACCAATAAATAATTTTTTTTATACTGACCAGCTAAAAAAAAAAATATTTTATTTTTAATGTTTATGTTATATTTTAGTTATACTAAAGTACCACTAAAACACTTGGAAAATAAATATGATATAAATCAAACAAATTTTACATTATAAGTGAAAATGTATTAATAGTGTATAAATTTTTATTGTGTAAAAATTTTTTATTTCCATTTTATTTTAATTTATTAAAAATTATTTTTTTCTTTATATATTTATATTTACATTTAAAAAAGGAAAAAACAGCTGTTCTGACATCTGTTGCTTCTCATGTGAATGTGGTATGCTGTAAAAACAGCTGATTCATTTTGATGAATCACCTTTATTGCAATTCTGCAACAGAGGTGTTCTCGCACTATTGCAATTTTAGTATGGCTGTTATGATCCGTACCTAGTTTGATACGGACTGAAGCTAATCCGGCACTTGAACCAGCTTAGCTTTTCACGATATGTTATCCTCCGTATCTAGTCTGATACGGATTCACTAATCCGGCACTTTAACCAGCTTAGTAATTCACTTACGTAATCCGGCACATGAACCAGTTACGTAATTTATAGATATCTAGATATATATGTAAATATATATATAGATATTTATTTGTTTATTTTATTTTTATTATTGATTTTCAAATTCGGCACATAAACCGACTTTGCTCAAGGTTCTTTTAGGCACTTAAACCAAAAGAAAACACTTGGTTGTATTCAGGTTGTTAAATTGAATCCAATGTTTATTAAAAATGTTGTGCTTTTATACAAAATTCTTAACACTAAGCTTATGGTAAAGGAGGAAATGCACCCAGTTCCCACGATTTGTTATCCGATGGACTTTGAACATTCAAGGCCAAGGGCATTCGTGGGAAATATGTGCATTACCTATGCTTATACTATTTAATGCAATCAGCAAGCTGATATATGTATTTTGCCATATATCAACCTGCTTCACAAATTTGGTGACTTAAATGTGTTATCACTGAAGCCATGCGCCAACTCATATTGCACCTGTGGGAACAACAGAATTGTCGCAGCGACTTGCCTATTGCTGCAACTCACAACGAACACACGATAAAAGAAAATGAACATAATGCTTATCAACCTTGCACAGTGGCGTGTGAAGATGATCATGTTACGTCTGGCACGCTGCTAGCGTGCGAATATTTAGTTGTGAGAGCCAGCAACATTGCTAAATGTTTGATAACACAAATAAACACCAACAACAAAAACAACATAAGAACTAATTTAGGTACTTATGTACACATATAATTAATGCACTAATAAGAATACAATTATAATAATTGACAATAATAATACAATAATAAGAAAACAATTATAATAATTGATACAATGATAATAGATTTAATATGAAACTTAACATTCTCCCTCCTGTTGACTTCGGTCAAATCTGTGCTTCTACGTCTACTTCGGATTTTGATTGTTGTCGAATTTTGCGCGTTTTCGTGGTGCGTCTTCAACTTGATCTGCTTGTACATCGGTGGATGAATGTGCCTCTGCTAGTAATGGCGCCAATCGATGTATTGGCCGTTTCCAAATTCCGTTCTTGGTTTTGACATCTACCACTCGAACCTTGCCATCAATGCCTGGGTAGGTACGCACTATCCGCCCTAATGGCCATTCCATAGGGGGTGTGTTATCTTCTTTTATGATAACCATAGTGCCCTGTTTAACATTTTCTGCTTCTGTTTTCCATTTATTGCGGTACTGAAGCTCATTTAAATATTCGTTGGACCATCTTGACCAAAAGTTTTGTTGAATTTGTGCGCTTGCCTTCCAACATGATGGTAATGAACGTGATGATACACTGGAATTTTCTGGCATTGCTGTTAATGGTTCGCCGATCAAAAAATGACCTGGCGTGAGTGCGATTAGATCATTTGGATCTGAAGATTGTGGTGTTATTGGCCTGGAATTGAGTATTGCTTCGATTTGAACTACAACGGTTTCCAATTCCTCATATGTTAAGTGTAATGTATTTACGGATCGTTTAAGATGATGCTTTGCTGATTTGACAGCCGCTTCCCATATGCCACCAAAGTGTGGTGCACGTGGTGGAATGAAATGAAATGTCATTCCCTTATCAGTACAGAATCGTGTAACTTGATTTTGAGCGGTTAGACTATATATTGAAGACTTGAGTTCATCTAATTGTTTACAGGCTCCAACAAAGTTCGTGGCATTGTCGCAATAGATATTTTTACACCTGCCTCGCCTTGATATGAATCTTTGAAGAGCATATATAAATGCATTGGTGGTCAAATCACTAACGATCTCCAGATGAACTGCTTTGGTGGAAAAACAGCAAAATACTGCAATGTATGCTTTGCATGGCTTTTTACCGCGGATTTTGTAATGGATCCACACTGGTCCCAAGAAATCTACTCCTGAATTGAAAAATGGTCTGGTTGGAGAAACTCTATCTTTTGGTAAGTTACCCATTATTTGTTTTAACATTTGAGGCTGTGCTCGTATATGCGCTTGACGCCATTGATGAGCCGCAATAATGAACATGATATTGCGCGTTGTTTGTTGATGAGCCCTTGAATCTGTGGATCAGGGCCGCACGCTGGATCATCTGTGTGTCCAACATTAAATCTTGATGTTGATGGAACAGTTACAGGCTCGACTATTTCTTCTTGGTTGAATTGTTGAATGGCCGCTTCAAATTGTCGGCTGTACTGTTTGTAAATATTCAGGATCTCTTGATAATATTCCTTTTTTATGTAGTCGTGTCCGACTGGAATTGAATCAAGACTCTGAATTTTACTGTCGACTTCATCGAAGGACTCCCACGCTGAGTTTAAACGCTTCAGTCGTTCTTCATAGTACGCCTGGGTTTTCCTTGCCTGACCATCCTTCTTGAAGTTTCTTATGATGTTCTGGATTTCAGCACCTGTTTCAGCCTGTTGGTTGATAAGGTCCTCCATTGTCACCAGAAAATTGATTGTTGAAATGTTAATACGTGTATGTCACCAAATGACAACAATGATGCGTGTATGTCCACAAATGACAATACTGCTGCGTGAATGACAATACTGATGCGTGATAGATCACGTGTATGCCCACAAATGACAATACTGATGCGTGATATCACGTGTATGTCCACTGAATGACAACAATGATGCGTGTATGTCCACAAATGACAATACTGCTGCGTGAATGACAATACTGATGCGTGATAGATCACGTGTATGTCCACAAATGACAATACTGATGCGTGATATCACGTGTATGTCCACTGAATGACAACAATGATGCGTGTATGTCCACAAATGACAATACTGCTGCGTGAATGACAATACTGATGCGCGATAGATCACGTGTATGTCCACAACTGACAATACTGATGCGTGATATCACGTGTATGTCCACTGATGCGTGATAAATCACGTCGGGGTCACCAAAAATGTTATGATCCGTACCTAGTTTGATACGGACTGAAGCTAATCCGGCACTTGAACCAGCTTAGCTTTTCACGATATGTTATCCTCCGTATCTAGTCTGATACGGATTCACTAATCCGGCACTTTAACCAGCTTAGTAATTCACTTACGTAATCCGGCACATGAACCAGTTACGTAATTTATAGATATCTAGATATATATGTAAATATATATATAGATATTTATTTGTTTATTTTATTTTTATTATTGATTTTCAAATTCGGCACATAAACCGACTTTGCTCAAGCTTCTTTTAGGCACTTAAACCAAAAGAAAACACTTGGTTGTATTCAGGTTGTTAAATTGAATCAAATGTTTATTAAAAATGTTGTGCTTTTATACAAAATTCTTAACACTAAGCTTATGGTAAAGGAGGAAATGCACCCAGTTCCCACGATTTGTTATCCGATGGACTTTGAACATTCAAGGCCAAGGGCATTCGTGGGAAATATGTGCATTACCTCTGCTTATACTATTTAATGCAATCAGCAAGCTGATATATGTATTTTGCCATATATCAACCTGCTTCACAAATTTGGTGACTTAAATGTGTTATCACTGAAGCCATGCGCCAACTCATATTGCACCTGTGGGAACAACAGAATTGTCGCAGCGACTTGCCTATTGCTGCAGCTCACAACGAACACACGATAAAAGAAAATGAACATAATGCTTATCAACCTTGCACAGTGGCGTGTGAAGATGATCATGTTACGTCTGGCACGCTGCTAGCGTGCGAATATTTAGTTGTGAGAGCCAGCAACATTGCTAAATGTTTGATAACACAAATAAACACCAACAACAAAAACAACATAAGAACTAATTTAGGTACTTATGTACACATATAATTAATGCACTAATAAGAATACAATTATAATAATTGACAATAATAATACAATAATAAGAAAACAATTATAATAATTGATACAATGATAATAGATTTAATATGAAACTTAACAATGGCATTCTTGCATTTCGTGCACCTTACAATGACTTTACCAGACAGAGTGAATATCCCTACCATTTTAATTTATACATATAATTATATGTATTCATATATAAAGAAGAAAAAATTTTAAATAATGAAAATAATATATAAAACTTAATTTAAACATTAATACCATAAAAATAAAAAATGTTTTTATAATAAAAATTTGTACACTGTATGCAATATATTTCTCAAAAATGTAGAAAATAATTAAAATAATAAAATTATAACAACTAAAATTTCAACAACAACAAATGTATTATAATTTAACAAATTAATTTGTCATAAATTCATTCTATGATTTAATTATGTTAATATTATATTTATGCATAAAGAATTTATATATATTGACATTATTTTAAAGTTAAAGAATTGTTTAATACTCTTTTATCCAATTATTTTATTATATACGTATATATTATGTATATATATATATGTATAAATATTTATATAGGTACTAAAATCGATTTTTGAATTGCATATATTTTTTTTTAATTCAAGATTAATAGATGTCTAATTCATAACTAAATATTTATTTTAATAGGAACATCTATTGACATCCATTGCTTGTAGAAAATGTATCTATAAGGTAAGAATTTTTATTATATAATTTAAATTAAAATTTATATTCAAATTGAATGAATTTAAAGTTATATATTTTATTAATATATATAAGATTTTGAGTTTTATTATACCAACAATTTTAGTTTTAAATTTATTTTCTTTTATTTCTTAATTGTATATTAATTTTTATTAAAAGGGGTTAAAATGTAGATTTACCAATATAAATCAACTGTAAGGCCCCATATTCCATATAAAACCGATATAAAAAATACATAAGCATTTAAACGTAACTTTAAGTGTGAACATGATATATTGTGTCTGGAATCTGAAAATAAATTTATAATTTTAATATTGCTATTTTTCACTAGTTAATGAAAAATTGGTCATTTACATAGAAATAAGAAACTTCTTATTTATATATAAGAAGTTTCCCTGAAGATGACTGTCGAAGATAGTCTTTCGACTATCGTAAAAATATTTTAATAATTTATAAATTGTTTTTAAATATAAATAATAAGTTATGGTTTTTTTAGTTCTTTTTGTATAACCAATTATCTAGTAAATTATTATATGATATTTTTGGTCATAAATAACACAATAAAATATTTTTACAAATATTGTATGAATACAACTAAATTTAAATTTTATTTTATCATTCTAACCCAACATTTTGTTGGTTTTTTTGCCATATAATATGAAACAATTTATTAAAACACAATATCGTTATTACTTAAATTAAAAACTTAATATTTAATAACATTAAATGCTGATTTTAAACAAACTTTTAATATTGTTATATATATCATCAGTTTTTAGTTTTGCAATCCTCGTAAGTAATTCATTTACCATAAAAAGTGATAATGAAAGTAAATTTAATAATATGTATAAAAAGTTTATCTGTTATTGAAAATTAAAGTTTTTATTTTTAATTTTTATATTTTAATTTAATTAAAAAATGATATTGTTTATCAATATAAATATGCAATACCAATAAAATAATATTTTAATTTCATTTATATACAAACAATTCCAACCATCTGTCCTGTATGAGAGTTACCTAAATTATTGTCTTTTTTCACCACAATTGCGCTTTGCTTGTGTTGACTATTTTTTCGCGGAACAGCGACATTGTGGTGTATTGTCGAAATTAAGTTCAACTTTATTTCCTGTTGACTTTACGCGCGTTGAAGAAACAAACGACCCATTGCATCTTCAGCAGCTCCGGAGTTCGTACGTGTTTTTAGTTCGGGTATTGTTATTTAGTGGTTTCATGTTTTGTGTTAAAAAATTTATTTAAATGTTTGCTTAAAAAACAGTTTACTTGTGTATGATAAAGTTTTTGTAGTGGAATTTATATATATTTATATAATAATTAGTTTGATTTCAAACAAAAATTGTTTAATTGACGCGTTAAAATTGCTGTCTGCTTTCTACCAGTTTCGTTCCCACGGTTTCACATACAAATCTGGTAAGCATTTTCTACTTTTTTTAATACAATGAAACATTTTTTAGATTTTATATATTCTATGTTTTATTAATATTAATTAAAAATTTTAATTTCAATTATTTAAATATACTACAATTGCTGTCGGCTTTCTACCAGTTTCGTTCCCACGGCTTCACATACAAATCTGGTAAGCATTTTCTATTCTTTTTAATATAATAATTTTTTTTTAGTTTTTATATATTCTATGTTTTATTAATATTAATTGAAAATTTATTATTATTATTTTAATTATTATTTAAATATATAATTATTAATAACGTTCATAAAAACTAATTTCCGTTTTCATTCATTAAAACATTTTTAAGTATATTTTTCACCATAACCTCATTTTCAATATGTATTTCATACGTAGGTTTCTTTTTATTCTTCGTTTATTTATTGTTTCCCCACATACTTTTTTTCCGTTAGCAACACAAAGTGAATATAAGGAAGTAACAGATTGTAAAAGTAACTTCGAGAGCAGTATCTATTTTTAAACTTTTTTACTCTCTGAATTTAGTACAGTAAGCACATTAGATTTTTTTGCGTTTGCCTTAATTCTTATACGCAGTTTTTCACATAGAAAAACGTAGAATGCGGATTTCAATTCCAATTTGTTTAATGTGTTTCAAATTGTAAAATAGAACAGTTTGGTATATACTGTATAATCGTTTTACAGCATTCGTAAACAAAAACATTTTAGAGATATTGATTGTCGTACAAGAATTAATTTGCATTATGTTACCATGCACACAAACATTCTTGCCCCAAGCCTACACCGGCAATTATTTCTGGTTTATTTCGAATATTATCTGCAAGCATATTTGGTATCATAAATTGATCTAATAATAATTTAATATAATTAAATTTAAATTTATAATTAATTTTACATATAATATAATTTTATTAATAATTTATATTATTATTTTTTTCCTGTTCGGTTCCACTATAAATTCACTTTTATAAATAATTTCTTTTTTGTTGCACCAGCGTTATTTATTTCAATTTAAAACTGGTTTAAAAATTACTATATTACTATTGTTTTTTATTATATAAAATCAAAAACTATGTCTTAAGTAAAATACTTTGTATGTGAAGAAATTTCCAATTAGTTGAAGTTATAGCCTCCAAGTAACTTTACAATTTTTATATGTTTTGTAACCTTTTGCTGGTTGTTTTTCTATTCACAAATAAAAAAATACTATAATGAAACCGGTTTAAAGTCAAATATGAGAATAAAAAAATATTTTAGATTTTATATCTATATATATATATATAATAAAAAATCATTATAATAAAAGCATTTATTATATAATATAATAAAAATCACAAACAGTAAAAATTCTATTTTAATTAATTCGATTTTTTGATTAACCACATAACCAATTAGCACAAGTGGTGCCATACTGCCATATATAGTTAACTTCTTGAAACGTTCAAACTGTTAAAAGATACGCTCAAACAGATGCGCTACGGTATAGTAGTCATTGTTCTTTGGGTTTAATATTGGCATTTTTTTTGAATAAATATATTTTTAAACATAAATGAAATCACATTATCAATTCTTATAGTTATTCATTAATTGTAAACTTCTTTTTTAGTTGTAGTTTTACAATCTCCATCAGTTTTCTCATATCGAGCATTAAGTCTTGTTATAATCAAATTTTAACTACTATTGTTTTGATAGTACGGTATATAATATCGTAAACTACGGCTGTGCTATATTGCATCTACATGTGTTATCCCATATACTGCATTGGTTATGTGTGCCATATTTTGTATCGTGCCATAGCGAACCAAGTGTGTCTGTTTGCTCCTGGCATAGCTTATATTTTTTTACTTATATTTCTAAAATCAGCAAAAACAAGCTGTTTAGTTGTGATTAAAAAATTTTTTTCAAAATTAATATATTTTTATGTGTAAAGTGAAAGATAAATATGTACTTCAAACTTGACAAAAATTTGATCGTGTAAATTTTGACAAAAACAAATAAGTATCTTAAACGATTTTGCGTTCTTTTTCAAAAAAGGGAATTTAATAAAACACTAAATAAAATAAATTAACTGGTAAAAATATATTTTAAGGCCGTGTGTGAGTTCGAGTAAATTGAGGAAAATAGTAAATTATGTCGGTATGGCAGCGAATGTTGGTATTTATCAGAATTTCAGGTACGGTAAATTAGATAAAAATTGGGTAAATTAGGTGTTGTCATTGTGAAAATTTTATAAGACGTTTAATAAATAAATTTGAAAAGTTTTAACCAAAAATAATAAATAAATGGAATAAATAAATATTTATATAAGTGCAGTGCAAAAAATTCCTAGGAAATTGTAATTTACTTTACCTCAATTTATTCGATCTCGCACACGGCCTAAGTTACTTTTAATCGGGTTGTGTTAAAATACTGTCGTTAATATGACCTAATCTTGTATATGAACATAACTATAATATTCTTAGATTAGAATAAAGAATAAATATATATCCATATATTTTAGTATAGGATATATATATAAAAACATATAAATATATATAGGGAATATAGCTCTTATTGCGTAGAACATGATTATAATGTGATTAAATATCTAACATATCGAGTCTCAATTGCGTATCTACTTATTGAATTTTCACTAGCTATATTACTACTTTCCAGTTATTTTTTCCAGTAAAATTGAACAATTCTCTTTTCTAAAATTAAATTAAACTTGAAATGTTTTTTTCATACCAATTTAAAAGAATTTTATTGTGTCATAAGTTTATTTCTTTAAATTGATTAATTCTGTTAAAATAGAAAATTTGTTAATTAAACACAGAAAAGTGGAAAATTAAATTTCAAGATTAAAATTGAGACGACTTCATTCTTTGTTGATTTTACATAGCTTTTTCAACTTTCTGAGCATTAACATGATTGACTATTTGTGGAACATGTTCGTGAACTTGTTCCACAACATGTTGTACATGAACAGGCACCTTCGGTACATTAGTGGTGGTCTTGACATGCTCGTTTATAACTTGTGGAATGTGTTGATGTACTTGTTCAACAACATGTTGTACATGATCAGGTACATTAACTTTCTCCTTAGTAACATGATGATTTATTACCTGTGGAACATGTTGATGTACCTGTTCAACAATATGTTGCACTTGACTTGGAACTTCCACTTTTTTGCGCATAACATGCTGATCTATAACTTCTGGTACATGTTGATGTACTTGTTCGACAACATGTTGTACATGGGCTGGGACATGTGGTACTTTTGTAGTGCTGCTGCTTGCATGATGATGATGAATCACTTGAGGAATATGTTGATGAACTTGTTCCACAATATGTTGCACATGGTTGGGTACTTCTGGTACAGCATCTTTTTTAACTACCGGTGCAGTTGTAGTGACTTTATGTTTCTTCTCCAATTTTTTTCTTTGTTCAGCGTAATAATGCAAAGCCTGTGGAATATGCATTTGTGCTTGTCTAACAATTTCCTTAACGCGGTCTTGTACTTTGTGTACATTGGTCGAAAGTACTTGTTGCACTTGTGCAGGCGTTAAGACATGTTGGGACACAATATGTGAGGTAGCACTGACATCTACAGCTTTCTCTTCAACTTGTGGCACAACACTTGGTTTTATCTGTACACGCACATGATGATCTGTCACATGTGGCACTTTCTTATCGGTTTTGGTGACTTTGGAAATGTGATTGATGACTTGTGGCACATGTTGATGAACTTGGTCTACAACATGTTGTACGTGTGGTGGAATGTCAGAAGCTTTTGTTATCTTATTACCAATGGTTTGTTGTTGTTTGTGTACTTGTGCTTGCACAATTGGAACTTGTTGTAAGACGTGTGAAATGTGCTGTTGTGCTACTTCCTGGACATGCGTTTGTACTTGAGGGACATGCTGTAGTGTATGCGGTACACCAACTTCAACGGCATAGGCGCTTGCCAATAGAGCTGAAAAGTGTTGATATAAAAATTATGTTACTATTATTAAATTCATAAAGTTTTAATATGTCGAACCTAAAATGATAAAAGCCTGCATTTTGTTTTCAGTCCTTGTAGTTTTGAATTCAGAATTGATTCTGTGGTCTTTCACTCACTTGCAGCTCCTTTTATACAAAGTTACGCCCTGGAATCGTTCTTCTTTCAAGCATCCGTTTTCCTTATTTTTTTTTTTTGTTTTTTTTTTATTGTTATTAAGATTTTATGCGAATCTCAAACGTTTATTGAAGTTAAGATAAAAATAATTTTGAAAACTGCAGCAATTTACATATTGCAAATTACGGTTCTTAAACTGGTTTCACTTAGGAATTCTTCGGATACTTGTTAATTTAGAATACTTTTATTATAAGAATTATTTAAATTATTGTTTTGCCTTTATTAAACTTTTTATTGGTTTAACGTTTAATTTACGACTAATTAAGTTGCATAATATTTATGGAATTTGGATAAACGGTATCTGACTTTGATAAAATAATTCAGTTACTATATGTTTATTTCAATTCAAGAATATATTTTATTTTAATTTTTTTTATTTTTATTTATAAATTTATTTATATTAATTATTTATAATATTTAATAATGACATTTAATATTATTAAATATTAAATTTTAAATACTAATAGACATTAGATATTATATATAATAGTATTTATTCTTAATAAATATTAAATAAATAATAAATATTAATAAACATCAAATTTAATATTTGAACAAATTTTAAATATTATTTAAATATAATAATATATAGTAATATATTATAATAATATATAATATTACTAAACATTATTTTTATTTATTCATATATTATAATATATGATATAATATAATCATATATTATATATATAATATATATAATATATGCCTTTTTTATTTTAATTATATTGAAAACTTAAAAAAAAAATTAAAAATTTGTTCATATTAGTGCAATCGCTAATGACCCATACTTCAGTACATGACATCTTAATATTAGTATATATAGTAAATTTTTTTTTTTGTTAATATTGATTTTACATTCCATTTACATAAATATAGTAACAAGCAAATTTTCGGCAGTCTACGAAGTTCTTCAATTTTATCTAATAGAGCTACTGCTTACTAGAGTAATATATTTGATCAGTCTTTCGAGATATTTTTATAAATAAAATATTTATATTTTAAAATCACATGTGTTATATAAAGAACATATAAATATTTATGTATATATATGTTAATAATTAATTAAAAACTTCCAATTACAATCCAAAAGTACCATAAACATAAATCCGTTTATAAAGTTACTCTATGGGCACCAGTAAGGTATTTCTTTACTCTATTTTTCTTTATAGTTAATATATTGAGACTTTTTAAATAAGTGTATCTAATATCTTTTACGAGAGAGATATGGGTCTATAGTCAATTTAATGTTTATCTCTGCAAGTTTATCATATGCTACCCATCTGTATAAAAAGTTAACTTTTTTGATAATACGCATCAAGTTTTTAATGCTCTGATTCCATTGTAATAGGCACTATAATAATTTTTTTATTCTTCGGTAAAAGAAGCCGTTCATAAAGATATTTTGAAGACAAAATCTAATATCTTCTCTTATTATCAAAACATAAAATACACTTCAATGAGCGAGCGGATCACATTGCTCATATGAGTAAAAAGAGGAGGCTGATCTTTTTTTAAGATTTTGTTGGGAGTCAGATCAATTCTACACTTCAACAATTGTGGAAATTAAAACACTGGTAGCCTTCGGGTGTTCTATTGAATCACACTTCAAGAAAAAACTATTGAAGAAGGCCAAGGTCCGGCACTGCGGTTGTAGTACTAATGATAATATTTTAACATCTAGGTTTTCGGCATTGTTGTATTCCTCAATAGAAACATTCAGCTCAAATACTTAACTAAAGTCACTAAGTTTACACCTCTAAAGATAGACGTCTATTATGTAGGCTTGTGGAAGATTACTTATTAAATTCAGGAAAACAAAAGAATTTATGACATTACCTGAAACGTCTCACGTTGGCACTCCACACAACACTATCTCTTTAATTTTTTTTATAAGGTGAGAGTTCACCTCACCAACATCATTCACATTATTTTTTGATTTAATTTTATAAATAAAATTTTTAAAATATTGGAATATATTTGTTTTTTTTTATTTTTTTTGTAATTTTATTTTAAATAAATGGTAATTTCTCGCAAAAACAAAACAAGTGCATAATGAGTATAATTTTTTATGATGGATAGTATTGGAGTCTGAATACCTCCCAAAAATCTTATTAACTTGCCTAAATAAATAAAATATAACACTTACACTCAAGTTAATACAAAAATTTAAACTCAAATTCGATAATTCGGAAATTCCTTAAGTAAAATAAAAATAGGATTAGTTGTCGGGATATCTACTTGGACTACGATCCATTAGAACAGAATTCTCTTTTGCAAATTATACTCAGGATGTGGCTCCATTTTTTTAAGTTAACCCCAATAAATAAATAAATATATATATATATATAATTTAATCAAAGGAAAAATTATTAAAAAAATTAAAAATAATATAATATTTATTTTGTGATTAGCTTCTATTGGTTATTAATTTTATATATGTACAAATGTATATTTATTTATATCTAATTTGATATACAAAACAGCAAAGAATATAATATTCCAAGCTTTTTTAGCCTTCTTAATCATTGCATATTTTTAGGATGCTTTAAAAATCCATCTAATTTATAAATATTTTTACTTATTATTGTGCTAAGTGCTTTTACGTTTCTGTCATTAAAAAGGATTAAGATTATTTTCACTTTAATATTAAATTAAAAAGTATTTATATTCCAAAATTCCATCATCAGAATATAAGTGAATTCTCCACTGGCAAAAAGTATAAATTGTAAAATCGCATCAAAACTGAATCAAATATCGACAAACTTTCAACACAGTTTACAATTTTTTAACAAAAAATTATAAAATGTATAAATTTATTTTGTTTATATTTGGTATGTTTGTATAATAATTCAAAAAAAGTATTTATTAAAATTATTTACACAAATCCTTTCTTCAGCTGTTATTATCACGATAACAACAACAACTGCCAAAGTTGTCTTTATACCAAGTGTGAATCAATATGGCAACACTGTACATCCAATCCAGACAGTGGCGAATAAGTGTGACTTCCATTGCACAGATGTAGATCTAACAGTTTGTGCTACCAATGGACAATGTATGCAAAAATTTCAAGGAGATTGTGCCTTAACTGCTTATAATTGCAAAAATCCCCACAAAGCCTTCGTCATTATTGATAATTGGAAATGCGAACACAGTGGCGCCCCACGTTGTAGTCAAGGAGAACTCAATAATTAGCTAAACACATAAAATTAAAATATATATAAAAAAATATATACAGTATACTAAATATATAGTTTTAAGAATGCTAAATATAAATTGCTTATAAATAAATATATACATAATTTATCTGTAATATTTTGTGTTGTGAGTTAAATATATATAGTTTTCCAATATATATTAACTTTAAATACATTCGTTCAGGTCAATCTAATATTATATATATTTTCATAAGTTTTTCTTTATTAATTGTTCTTTAAATTATATGAACTTTATCATTATGTATCTATAATAATTAATTTTGTTTTGGATATATATTAAATTAATGATTTGTATTAATAATGTAATGGATTAATTCCAAGTAGTAAAGAATATATTCCAAAGAAATATTTGGATTGCATTTAGTAAACTAAAAAACTTTGAAACGATGCTGATATCAACGACTTCAGTTCCATCTGCATCTTTAAGTTCCATGGCCACTAATAAAGTAAAACAAACTAGTGCTTCAAGTAAAAGTAAATATTAAAAAATTAACTTTACCTGAATCGACTTTAGGTTTTCCTAATAAAAATGCTTTAGTTTCTAAATCTAAGGAATCTACATCAAAGGAATTTGTTAAATTATCCAAAATAATGTTTTCAGGTACAAAGCGATTAATGTTCTTCTTAATAATATCAAAAGAACCGACTTTTTTAAGTGATTTTGTATCACTATTTTTTAAGGAATCAGAAAAGCTGGTCTCATCATATTTCCCAGGCAATTTATTTTCAATATCATATTTGGTATTGTATCCATTCTTTGAATTGAATCCATTCTTTATAGTTTCTTCACAACCAATATCCATCTTCTGTTGCTCTTCTTTTGAAAAAGCTGCTTCACCCTTAATTGCACCTTTTTTCATTTCCACATCAAAGCTATTAATAAGCTGTTCAGGTTTCTTTTCCCCCTCATCTAAAATAATTTCATCTTCTGTTACAGTTCTGCGTTTAGCTAACTCGTTTTTTACTTCCATATATAAATTATCATCAAAATAGTCAAAATCCAAATTATCCATATCAATTTCAGAAAGGCCACCACCTAGTGATGAGTATCTACCTTCATATGAATCATTTTTCAGTTCATAACCAAATCTCTTGAAGTGATTACCTCCAAAATGATTTCTTTCGAATTTATCATTAAATTGTAATGACAGGTTCTGCACCTTTAAATATTGATCTCCACTAAAAATCTGCTGCCCATTCAACATTTTGATTGCTTTCAGTTGATCCTCTTCGCTTCCAAATTTTACAATACTATAACCCTTTGACTTTTTATTTGGAAAGCGCGGTGAGGATATGAAGCGGAAAGATGGAAAATTAGATTCGAAATATTCATTAATTTCTTTTTCAGATTCTCTTATTTTCAGAAAAAATATTTTTATTGAAAAACAATCGTCTGAATTATATTGCTGACCATTTTTCTTTTTTGCATCACGAACTAACAAAGGTGCAGAACCGCCTAAACCCATGTAATTATTCATATTGAATATAGCGGTCTTCTGTTCCCATTCGCTGCTCAGCTGTATGAATGCATAACCTTTTGACATACCCAATCGATCCTTTGAGATCATTACGCGAATGGGAGGAAAACCGTTTTCTGTAAAGGCCTTTTTAATATCAGCTGTTTTAGTTGTATGCAATAAATTGCCAACCCAAACGCCAAAATAAGGACGCGTATCCTTCATGCTTTCGTTTGCCACATCTAAATAAAACAACACATCAGGCTGCTCATTAGGAATTGGCTTGTTATCATGGGTATATAGAATGTCTAGAGCGTCTTTAACGGATTTGAATTGCAAAAAGCCATGCATGGGATCGTTAGTTAAATTATTTCTCATTATACGAAGACCAGCTAAGGGTTTTCCTAGTCCAAGAAACAGTTTGTACAAATAGTTGTCATCCATATGAGGAAGCAACTATTAAAATTAATAGTTTTAATTTACATAAATATTTTGAATATTTATTTTGTAACTTACCTCACCCATCCATAAGTGGCATTTTTCATATGAAAAATCCATTTTTTATATATAATATTTAAATTATATATTATTGTACTCCAAAGAATTTTATCTAAAAAATATTTAATACATGCAATTAATTATATATCTTATAGACAAATTGATTATACAAATTTATTACATTTTAATCTTTTGCTAGCATTTACTAACAAAGATTTGTTTGTATCATATAGATCTACCGACATCCGATATTGTTCATGTAGAACAAGTTGAATATGGACTTCTTGATAATAAGTTTTTAAATACTTAACTCGCCAATATATAATTTAAAGCATTTCTATATAGAATTTTAGATAAAATTTACTTGACTAAATTTTAAGATCTTAGAGATATTAGTTGGTAGACTTCTTCAAGTATACATCTCGACATAAGTCCTACATATAATAATGCAATACTATTCCTCGTTGATTGGATTGTTTTCGACGATTTACTACAATAATTTTCTTAGTTAATAAACTTATTAATTCTTTATAACGCCTTGTTATTGAAAAGGGATAGTGCAGTGCAACCTAAAAGATCTGTTGTGCCCCTTAGTCGGAGTAAAGTGTTTCTTCAAGTTCGATTTTTTTAATAAAAGACAGTATAGAACCTGTCTTTTCTAGTCTTGGATTCTTATGATCCATGAAATAAAATAAAAACAAATTTAACGAAAAACTGAATTTTTATAAATAATGAAACCTATATCTATAGGTTTCTTCAAATAACAAAAACCTTACAATTTTTGAGATAATTTGTTTAAACAGATAACAGCCCTAAGTGCGGCTGTAAAGTAATTCGGAAATATATACATAAATACAAAATATAATAAGAATAAAGCAAGAATAAAGATTTATGTATTTTCTGCAGCCGTACTGGATAGATCAATAACTTACCTACAGAAGGATGCAAAAAAAAAATGGCACCCTTTCTTTATAATAACACTAATCCAATCGACTGGACTTTTTGCTTATAGTAAATATAACACATCTAATGTAATACAGTATATTAAGGATATAAGTATTTAGTCACAGACGAAATGCTCAGATAGAAATATGTGAAAATCTGATAGTTCTGGTTCCTTACATTTCCTGTAATCATCACTGCTGGTGATGCTTAGTTACCTGGCAAAGAAATACTAACTGGTATCTAGTAGTTATTTTTAAATAGAACGGAATCCAAATATGTATTTGGTATATTTTAAATATAATAGGGGTATTCAATCTATCTAGTAAAGTCATTACAAGGTGCACGAAATACACAAATTGCGTGAGCTTGCAATGGAACTTGCAATGCAAGAACATTTACTTGCAAATATGACTATAAGTACATCCTATATTGTTTTTCAGCTAATGAAAATAATTTATCGATAAAAGAAAATATTAATCGAAATTAAAATAATGTAATCATTTGAAAAAAAGTACTTCCTACACATTTATTTATTTTATATTCGCTATAATACATAAGCTTAAAGAATTTTGGAATTAATTTCTCTATTAGATTAGTTTAATATAATATTTGAATATTAAATAAGAGTAATATTTCATAGTTTAAAGCCTTTAAAGCAAAAAAATAACAAAATTAATAACATTTGAAGAATTTCCATAGCAACGGTGACAAGTAAAAATATCAAAAATCAAATGTCAGTGCAAATTTTTCTGACAGCAAATAGAAAATTTAATTAAAAAAAATGTATCTGATGAAGTAATAAAAGTTATAAAGGAAATATACAATTTAAGATATTTTTAATAGAAATATGAAAATTCATAGAGAAATGTAACTAATTTTGTTTTATATAATAATAGTTTATAAGTTAGGTTAGGTCAAGTCATAAAAAAATCTTTTCCGCCATCTTTAAAATAATTTACTTTCTTTGAAGAAATTTAAAGATTTTTACAAAACCAGATCTATTCACAACTTATAATTTGAGCTATTTTGATAATAATTATTATAATTAAGATATATTATTAAAATTTCTCTATATATATATGTAATATATATGTATAATATATTTATTATATAAAATATTATATATATAAATATATCTATAATAAATATTTAAAGTAGTTATTATTTAACTTTTATTAAATATTAATAAAATTTGTTATTATTCACATTAAAAAAGATCTTGTTACATTTCTTATAACTTAATCCAAACTAATCTACAATTTATAAAAATCATCAAATTTTGTTAACGAAGTAAAAACTATGCAAACGAAATTTAAGACCATTTTAAATATTTTCATTAATTTATACAACATATAAGATAAGTTATTCTAATTATTTTATATATACATTGATTAATATGAAATGAATACTTACATGAATAAGAAAATTTTTACAATATATATATTATGATACTTTGCGGTGAAAATCTCACAACTCAAACTCCTAACAACTTCACTTAACAAGTTCTAAACACGAACTGAGAAATAATTGTAGAACAGATAGCCTTCTTACCTGCGAACTCAGTACTACCAACTTCAAGACTAGTTTGTAAAAAGCAGCACGCCTAATAAAATTTTAGGTAGGTTAAGACAATTCCTTTTACACGATACCTTAATATAATAGTTACTTTTATTATAGTGTATATTAGTATTACTATTAATTATATAGTTGCTGTTCAATATGTACGGTGTCATTTAGTATACTATTTAATATATACATTTATTTATATGATATATACAATGAATTCAGCTTGCATTATCAAAATCTTCCTTAAATTCTTGGTTTAAGGAAACACGAAAATCATATATACTATATATTACTATTTCCTATATATGTTACTATATACTTATATATATTATTATTATTTTATACTATTTAATATATACATTTGTATATATGATACATACAAAGTATCAGTTTACATTCTAAAAATCTTCTTTAAGTTCTTGGTTCAAGAAAAAACGAAAATCATATACATATAAGTGGCGGTAAGAAACAAAACAAATCATATATAAGTGGGGGTAAGAAATAAAACAAATCACATATATAAGTGAGGGGTATTCATTTTTAATATAAACCACGATGCAAACATAGTTCAAGAAAAAACGAAAATTATATAGAAGTGGGAGTATCAATCTTCAGTATTTAAAACGATATATACGTGGTTCAAGACAAAGAAAATTGGGTATCATATATAAGTGAAGGATATCCATTTTCAATATTAACCATAATTCATAGTTCAAGAAATAAAGAATTTTATATATAAGTGAAGGGTATCATTTTTATATATAAACGACGACACATACGTAGTACATGATAGAAAAAAAATCACATATAAATGAGGGGTATCTATGTTATTTTAAAAACACTGTACATACTTGGTTCTAGAAATATAAAAAATCATATACATATAAGTGACGGATATCCATTTTCAATACATATATGGTTCAATAGCTCATGTGATTATTTTTTTCATTTTAATTTTTTTAATAACACTCATCGGTTTACCTGACATCAACCTATGAAGTTAACTATAGCTCTCGCTATTTTTGACCAAAAGCACATAAATTTTTCAATTTTGTAGAAGAAAACACTAAGGAGTTTCCTTTTATATTAGCTTGATGAATTTGTGCACCAAAACCCATTTGAGCAAATATAATGTCCCATTGTGATCCATTTCTTCTACGTACGATCATAAAAAAATGGTCTATAATAGATTCTTTGTAAGATTATAAGGGATTGTTATTCGAAAAACAAAAATAGAAACAGATTTCATAAAAAGATTTTAGATAGTGTAAAAAAATTTTTTTGATAAAATTACTATCAATTCAATCAAATGTTAAAAAAATCTTAGTTTTGCCCATTATTATATCAGAATAATAAATATATTATTATGTTGAGGCTAATTGAGTCAGTGCACTTGAGCATTTTTACTCTTTCTTAACTCGAGATATTTTCAAAACCCCTCTTTATGTCTAGACTAGATTATTGTTTATCACTTCATCAGACTAAGCAATAACTGACCTCAGATCTGCATACCTCCTCGAGGAGCCTATAACCATTCTGAGATTCGATAACGCGGTGTTGGTAAGCCTGTCAGTTTTCAGGGCTTTATCCTTTGTTTATAATATTACAAATATATTTTTATATAAATTTGTTATTTTTATATAATATGTAATAAAATAATATAATATTTTATATTATAAGAAATCATAAAGAATAAATATTAACCATCAAATTAAAAAATATTTAGGGTTAGATTTACAATGTAAAACTGATTTCAAGTACCCAATAACGAGTACTAAAAAGTTGCCTAGCAACGAGTTGTCATAAAAAAAATTTAAGAAAATTTGAATGAAAAAACAAATCAATATTTTTACAAATTTTTTGTTTTTAATATAATATAAATATAACATATAATGAAACATAATAGTAAAATAAAATAAAACTGATCTCTTATTATTTGAAAGTTTGTCAAATGTGATTATAATGCTGTCGTTTGGGGGCCTATTTATTTAAGCCATTTTGAAATTGGTGAAATTTCTAATGTTATTTAATTCTTACAAATATTTTTGTTTTTGTTTATTATTTTAATTATAATTTCAATTTTAACAGGTGAAAGATTAGCGTCTCAATTCATATTTTTAAAAGTTTTATAGTCCCTTATATATAAAAGTTAATCATGTTGTTGTTGTTGTTGTTGTTGTTGTTGTGATTTGTGTTAGTGCTATTGCGCACTTTTACCCTATTGTGGCTGGGGGGCTTATCCCTGCCCCACACTAAACTTTAACTATACTAGAATCATTATCATTTATTTATTTTCTAACTGATGACGGACCGTAGATCAGCATATCTTCCTGTGCGTCCTGAGGTGGACTTAAGGTTTGTCAGAGCGGGGTTGCGCAACGTATCAACTTTTGTGAATAATTTTAGAGCTCTGTACTTGATATAATTTTTCACTGAGTCAATCATGTACAATTTTCCAATATGATATTTTAAAACAATAGTAGCTACTGTCAAATAAAACAAATTCCATACTTGATATGAATTTTCATAATTATATTTTTCCCTTAAGTCTTTACCTTGTAAGAACAATCAACACATATTTATCAATAGTTTTGGTACTATTTTTACCTAAACGCAATTGGGATTGTCTTAAAGCTATAAGACTTTCAAATTTGCAAAATGGTCTTATCCCAAATTGTCATGCCACCCAACCAAATAAATGTACTGTAGTAATAAAAAATTGTCAGTACCCGACATCCGTATTCCAGTAACACACAAATTTTTACCATTTTTAGTACTAATATTTATAATTTATTTACACATTTTTACAAATAAAATTTTAAATTGTACAACAAATCAGAAGTTCTATCAAACGACAACTACCAAAAAAAAATATTAAAAAAAAAATTGAATTTTCTCTATGTAACTTAAATTACATGTGAGTAAGAAATAAAATGTCAAAACAAAATTAATATAAAAAAATATTTGTTTTGAAAATAAAAATCCAAATATAAAAGTAACGCTAAAATAGCCTGCGTTTCTTCTCATATAGCTCTTGATGTTCATCAAATACTTCCTGACGCTCATTTTGACACTTTAGCTGTTCCATAATTGTTCCATCTGACATTGATTGTTGAATAACAGAATGTTCGGTTGAGGCGTTGACTGACGTCAATAAATCCATTTTGTACTGAAACATTGCTTTATTTAAGAATCCTAAGTATTTCATAAGGTACCAACTGGAAACTCTTCCAAACCTTATCCCTTCAGCGTACTGCTCAAAATGCTTTGCATAAATGACTTGCCATGTGTGATTAACGATTTCAACTATAATAATAAGGGGAAGTATATTAGCTAATAATCAATAAATAATATAGACTGTTAAGTATGTTTACTAGTGGAGTCAAACTGATCTGCGATTTCGGCCCAAGCGCGATTGGTTTGGTCTCCATCATAAAACTGTTCGAAAGCGGGGTCATAAAGACATTTGCGATTAAACACACAAATCACGAACTCTACCAACAAATTTTCGGGTAGAAGTTCGTGATCACAAAAGAAATAGTTCGGCCTCATTTCGATAGAACAAGAAACAACCTTAGCTTCTAAGAGAGAAATGAAAACACTACTAGGAAGAAAAAAAAATTTCTGAAATGCTAGTGAAATATTCTAATAAAGTGTGAATGAATACTATATATGTATAAACTATACATTTTATTCTATGGTATGTATGTCAGATATTTTTTCCACAACTTTGTAATAGATTTCTTAATCAGAATTTTGCATTTACACAACTAAATTTGTGTACATTTCAAAAGGTGTAGTTATGGAATATCTGACCAATATACATATTATATGACTTTTATATAAAAAATATAATTTAAATTACGGAAAAATATCATTTAAAGCCAATTATTATATTTGTTTATTTATAATTTCATTAATTTATTCATTCATATGTACCAAAAAAGTCGTAATACGAACTAGATTTTAGAACAATTGAGACTAAGAATAAAGTTATATATAACTAAGAATATATGTATATTTCACTAATCAAAGAAAACTTTCAAAAGATAATATAAAATTTGCTTAAATATGGCAATAGAGAAATGAACTCAAAAAAACAGCGCTTAGTTCTATCACTTCTCTGGTTATTCAATTTGCAATCAATATTTTTAAATATATCAGACAATATGATTGCATGGTTGCTTACTAGATTAGATTAGATTTTAAAAAGGTTGGGAACTTGTCACCACGTCACTGCATCCTTTGAAGATTATTGTGACACACCCACTTTAGTTTCATAGACAAGTAGCAGTTAAGAACGTCATTATGTTCTTTGGAGAGATGTTGCAGTTGATAAGTACCGAAGTCTAAGTCTGGCTAGACACAGTGACACAAAATGTGTTCTGCTGTTTACTCTTTTCATAACAAAGTCTGCAGCTATCGTCTCTAGTAATACCTAGGTTCGATAGATGAGAAGTCCTTTGACAAGTCGGATGCCACTTCTGTTTGACATTAGTAGCTCCCTAGTTCTAGCTCTTGATCGAGTCCGCATGGATTCTTTAGCTTGTTTGCGACAAAATTGTATTATCTCAATTAGTCTAAGCTGCTCTTTCCAGCCACTTATTTTAAGTTTAAAGATGCTTCATGATGGTTGCTTATTAAATACAAGTAAAAACAACATTATAAAATCACATATCAACACCAAGACAAAACTACTATATCCACGTATTGACACATCTTAAATTAAGCACCTTATTAACTTATAACATTCTTTAAACCGAACATTGCTGAATACCTTGACGTCATGAAGTTAAGTAATTCTAATTCATGTAGTCTATAAAAAAAAAACAAAATCAAAAAAAAAGATCAATATGCTCTTATTTAATTTGCAAATGCATAGTCTTAGTAAAGAATTGCTAATAATTTTTGAAAAACCTTTCTGAACGCATATTTGAAATTAATTTAGTAAACCTTTTTAAACATCCAAAGAAAAAACATTTCCGGGCACAGCTCTCAAATCACTTTTCATAGCACTTCTCACACTGAGATTAGGTGCTTGTACTTTATTGGTCTCAGTTTTAGTAAGAAACAGAGCATCAAAGTTTGAAAATCCCTTTTCTTTAAATACAGATAGTTGAAGAACTATCTGTAACAGATATTTTTTGTGCTTTGTCTAAATTAGGAATAGCACTCTGATTCTTATAAACACTACTTTAAACATGTTAACAAATTATCTGATACTGATATTTGTTATACTCAATTTTAGCAAAAAGCTGAAATACAGTTCTTGATATTTCTACATCGTAAACACAAAAGAACAATCTGAAACTTATATCAGAAACCGATTTGAGTGCTCATTAAAGTTATATTGTTGAAAGTGAAATGAGTAATATTTTAATTAGTAATGCACTTATAGCAACCCTCCCTCTTACATTATTTGCCATTATTTGAGCATTAGTAGGCTTTGGTCACAACGCCACCACTGTTTCAACTGACGACATATGTCACTACTATAAAAAAAAAACTATCAGAAACTGACATCGAATTCAATTAATGCCGGTAACTTTTCAATTGACAAACATTTTCGTAGCAGTCCATGCGACGTGAAATATAAAGTCACTTAGAGAAAAAGTCATCTAATAAGATAAACTGTTATACTTTAAAGTTTCTCTAAGTCTACTCTAAAGCTTTTTGATCCAAATTTCTTTTCTAATTGATATTCTAATAAAGCTAAAAATTGATTTACAACGTTATCACAATAATGTGTATAATAATACTTATCTTTATATCATTAAATTTAGTATATATATTTATTTCAATTAAAATATTTACTTATACATTATAGAAATTCAAATTTAAAAATTTTTTTTGAAAAGGTATAGAGGTATTAAAGAATATATATAAGTACATTCATTTATCAGTCTATCCCATGAGATCTTTTTCAGTACAATGTTTTAGCCAATACATTTTGCATCTCTCATCTTTAGTTTCCTTAAAATTCATTTCGGGATGTTTGCAATTGTAAGTATCCATTACGCATTTATTAGGAAATTCATATATACATAAGTCACTGCTAGCACAGACAGGGTTCAAATCTAACTTAGTGCATTGTAAATCGCAAGGATCTGAACTTTTCGCAACATCCATATCTGTTGGTGTATTCATTGGCATTTGCATTGAAGGTCCCACAACTACTTTAGGCATTTTTGTTACGACTGTCGACATTGGTACTACTCCCACTGGCATCACAGGCATTTTATTTGCACTTTCCATTTCTTTCTTTTCTTTCATTATCTCTACTGGTATAACTCCAACTGTATTAGACACAGTCGGCATTGGTACTACTCCCACTGGCATCACAGGCATTTTACTTGAAGTTCCCATTTCTTTATTTTCTTTCATTACCTCTACTGGTATAACTCCAACTGTATTAGTAGATAGCTTTTGGTCATTAACAACTTCAACAACTTCTGCTGGCACTTCAACACTTGACATTTCTGGTGTATTCAATGTTACTTGTACTTTTGTTACTTTCATCTGTTCCTCCTCCGATAGCACCTTTCCGGATACTGTGCATAGTAAAGCTAATAAAAAAAAAAATTTTTTTTTAAATATTTAATAAAAGTTTGGTTCGAGTATTGATAAAAAGCAAGAAAGAAAGAATACCTGTAATCAGAATTGCTTGGAACATGATTTTAGTTTGAAGTCTCAAATTACTTTGTGATGTCGGTTAAGATTTGCAGGCCTTTATACATAATTTTCTGAAGAGGTTCCTTATTAAGTAATACTTAATTGCAGTATGTAAAAATAAAACTTTTTTACATATATTTTACTGCCTTTATTTATTTTGTTCACTTTTCGACGTCACAAAGCCAATCGTTATGTCACGCCAATCGATTTAAATTTATTTTAAAATATAATTTTGTTTGTTGATCCACTGAAACGAAACCTGTTTGATTTTCAAACAAATTTAAATATAAATAATAAGTTATGTAAAATTTATTGACCTCTCACAAAATTCTTTATCACAAGATTATTTTGTTAAAAAATTTATTTTTATGCTTGTTTCTTATAATGAAATTAATTATTTCCGAATATATGCCAGGCAGTATTGAATTAAACGCAATATGCGGTTTTGATAAAATTATGTCAATAATTGTCTTCACTTTCATTATGGCAAAATACATTAAGTCAAGAAGCATCAACCTAACCAAAACCAATTCAGTATTTCTACAATTCATAATTAAAAAACTTTAATGGTGTTCTTTATATCATCATTCTCATAATCATCATCAACATCATCATCATCAACAACATCATCATCAACAACATCATCATCGTCATCATCACCATCCTTATCATTAAGCATAACAGTTTATGGTAAGCAGTAACTTCCTCAATTATATGCTCACATACGCTCTCATTATGTTCTGTTCTATATCACATTTATCCAGTAAATAAAGGATAGTATGAATTATTACTACATGATGTTATTTTATTAAGGCCGTGTGCGAGTTCGAGTAAATTGATGGTAAATTGAGGGAAATAGTAAATTATGTCGGTATGGCAGCGAATGTTCGTATTTACCAGAATTTCGAGAAGGATAAATTAGATGAAAATAAGGTAAATTAGGTGTTACCATTGTAATAATTTTATAAGATGTTTAATAAGTGAATAAATAAATTTGAAAACTTTTAACCACAAATAATAAATAAATGCAATAATTAAATACATAAATATTTACATAAGTGCAGTGCTAAACATCCGTAGGAAATTTCAATTTACTTTAACTAAATTTACTCGAACTCGCACACGGCGAGTTACACTGCTTCTGATCCAATTGAAATTAGATGCGTTACCTACTCTAGAGTTTTTGTTTTGAAATATTCGCTCTCCAAATATTTTCTTTTCTAGAGATTTTTTTATTTTCTTCGTAATTCGCAAAAAATGGTTTTCCAAAATTTGTAACCTTACTTCTTGCTGAAGCTAGACTTTTGCACAATAGATAAGACCTTAATGGTTCTTTTTCTTGGTAAAAATGCAATTATACTAATACACTGATTTACGTCATTGATTACGACCGACAAAATAAATTTTTTCACTACTAAATAAATTTTGTTATTTTTTTACGGGCTTATTGGTCAACAGTTAAATAATAATCTTTTTAAAAAACATTTGTTTGTTTTTAAAAGATTTTATTTTTACCAATATTTCGAATATAATCTATAGTCATCATCAGGGTACTATACAATTTAAATTACATATATTTAAATATTTTGGTGTAACATATCACAAAGAAACAAATACATTAACACCAAAAACATAAATAATATATATGAATAAAGAAAATATTTATACAATACTATTATTATTATTGAGTAAGGGATCGTGCACTGCGACCTAAAAGAGCTATTGTGCCCATACAATACTATAACAATAGATATAAAAATAACACATATAGGAAAAATATATTCATCCTCTTCCGGATTTGTTGAAGGTGTTTTTATACACCTGAGCACAGTGTTGTATGTCACTTTTGAAGTTCGACCTTAGCATTATCGAGGTCTGGCTCATTCTTTGATATAATACAGTGTGATGCCACTGCCGTTTTTGACTCAATATTATTTTTATATTACACTGTGTTTGTCCGGCTATATGCGTCTTTAATTTGTTTTTTGTTGTACCAACATATACTTGGTTGTATATGTTGGATCCGTCACCTTTACATTTAATTTGATAAACCACATTGTGTTTATCCAAAGTATCTATTTTAGATTTGGTGTTAGAAAACAGCATTTTCATCGTGTTTTGTGTCTCGTATGTAATTTTATATTTTTATTTGTCATATCTTATGGATGTTGTAATTGGAGAGTTTTAGGACATATACCATACTTTTATAAATTTGGGTATTCTGGTTTACTTTTTGATTTCTTTTTCCTTTCAAGATTTGATGAATTATTGGGTTAGGGAAATCATTTTGTTTAAAACCCTTTTGATGTTGTTTCTTACCTCCTCGTAAAAAATTGTATCACTTAACTCTAATTCTTTTATAGCCATATTTTTGGCAGTGTTTCTTATTACATGGTGGGGATGTTTTGAATTTGAGTTTATAATTCGTCCAGAGACTGTTGGTTTTTAATACCAGTATAATGACAACATTATACGATTATTGTATTGTAATAAATGGATATCCAAATATGGTAACTGGATATGCTTTTCTGCTTCTATGGTGAATTTGATACTTTTGTGAAAGTCATTGAAAATTTTTAAAGTGTCATTGATGCTATCTGTTCTTACAAGAAAAGAATTAACAAAATTATTTTTAATAAGCAATAGGCTTTAGTAAGCAAAGCTTTTAGTTTCTATACTTTATGTTTGACTTTTTGTTTAAAACGGAACTGAATAAGGTATTATAGGGTTACTCAATCCCAATAGAACTTTTGGTCGCAATACTTTATGCATCACATAAATTACATTTTTATATATTATTCTTATTATTCATTATTCTTGTATATGTTTATATGTATGTATATTTAATTAATTTGTTTTTTATTATCCCAGCTACGACTTGTGAAAATTAATATAGATTTTGTTACTAACATGGATGTAAACAATTTTAAATATCATTTATGTATGAATGAGGTAAGTTAAACCATTTGCATATTTGAAATTTTATTATATTGAAAATATATTAATTTTATTTTATTTAAATAATTTTTAATTAAATTATTTCTGTTTTACCACACATTTTCATTTTAAAAGTTACTTCCTCATATGGACCGTTTCTACATATACAGAAAGTTTCAAGAACAAGGGTATTCTTTACTAGCAGTACGTGTGATTACCAGTTCTTTCACAAATAAACCGCTCCATTGTTATATACAGTTTAAATCGACTGAAGCAGCGCTCGAATGTCTCTATGCTCTCGATGATAAGCCAATACCAGGTGAGGGCCCTGATATTAGTTTCTGCTTAGATGTGGCAAATGAATTGGTTAAAGATACTCGTCCTTATTATGGTGTTTGGCTTGGTAATCTTAGCGGAGATACGACAAATATTGATATAAAGAAAGCATTCGCTGCCAATAATATTAATGTGAAGCGTGCATTTGTCATTAGAGATCGATTGAGCAATTCGAGAGGCTACGCGTTTGTGCAGTTTTATACTGAATGGGAGCAAAAAAATTCCATATTCAAAATGAATAACTACATAGGTTTGGGTGGATCTATACCGCTCTTGGTCCGTGATTCTACCGGTCCAAAATTCAAAAAATTTAAACCCCCGCAAAAGAGCTCTTTTGTAATTAGAATTTTTAATTTAAACTTACATCAATATGAAAGGGAAATAAATGAGTTTTTCAAACAAAATTTACCCTCCTTTCGATTTATAACTCGTCCACGGTATGCAGATAAAACACCCAAAAACTACAATATCGTAGTGTTTGGAGATGAAGTCGATTGTATAAGAGCGGTAGAAATGCTTAATGGAAAACAATTTTTTGGTTCCAGCTATTTGATAGCCGTAATTCCAACCGTAAACTCGAACGATATACACCAAAGTGTGTCAGACGATGAAAATGATCAATACAAAGATAAAACTATTTTAAATTGGAAACAATATAATGCTGTTTCCTTTAAAGCAAAAGAATTAAATAACCATACAGATAAAGTTGATAAAGATAAAGTTGATGTTACCAATGCTAGTGATCTCATTAAAAATACAATATTAAAAGCTGAAGGTAATTTAAGTTTAAAATTTAATAGCTTAAACTAAAACTTTTTTTATACTCAACAGAAATTAATGATTCTGGAGATGCAGTAAACAGCGGACCCGGAACCGCTAGCAGCCTCATTGAAAGAATTTCAAATGCTTTCAAAAGTATATTTAATGTATTTTTTTAAATACTATACAATTTGAAAAACAAGACTAATATATTCACCTAAAATTTAATATAAATATATAAGTTTTTATAATTATATTCTTCAAGATTCTAAAAAATAATCAAAAAAGCAACATCGTACAATTATATTTCAAATTTAAAATATATTATAGTATATTAAATATATTAGATCTGTTATCTATGCAAAAAGCATAGATAGATCTTTAAGGATAAGTAAAATTTTACTTAGACCACTTTTGATTTTAAGATTGATGATTAATTTTAAGATAGTCTGTTACTAAGTAAACTGTATCGTTTGACAATATATTTTAAATTCAAGGACGATGGCTTCTAACTTCTTCTTGACAACTTTATGTTCCACTCTTCAAAGTCATTAAATTAATCTTTTCGTATTACAACATAATCATTTTTCCACAACGTGTTTTTGACGCAATTTAAGTATAATATTTAAAATCTTTTATATATTTTGTTTTCAATGTGCATCAATCAATTCAAACCCAGTACTCCTGAATGACAGTTCAAAGAGTTTCCACAAAGAATTACATCTGGTCCGAAATATGTTCAATGGATGGTATTTATTGTATTGTTTTTAAACTTAAATTCAGTCTCAACAAAAATTATGTGAAAAAGGGAAACATTATTAGATACACTGGAGAACAGCTATTATAGTTAATAATATTAATAAAAATATTTTAGCATAAATTATGTCACTTTAAATATGCGAAACCATAGAGAATGCTAAATGTATCGCACATTCTGTAAATAAATGAAGGTTAATCCCAGAAAAAATATTTATAATTATAATCCAATACATATTACATATAAAACACGACATAAAACGCGTTTAATTGATTAAATCATTAAAAAAAGAACAAAGAGAACAATCGACTACAGCTCAAATATTTTTTACTTACGAGCATACTTATGCAATACGCAAATAGAACCATCTCTTCTCATTCCATATGTCTAACTTTTTCTACCTGTCGTAATTTCATTAACTTCTATTACTGCATAGATAACATCAGTGACGTTGACTATAAGCAAGACATTTCTTGCTTCCATACGGTTCTTCGTGGTCGCCTAACAGCAAAGTTCTCAACAGTTCTTCATCTGTATTTCTCCAATTAAATTCACGGCATGCCAAATTTGAAACACGCACCCAACTCTAAATCTTACATATTTATGCCTTCATACTATTGATATCGTAAAATTTTTTCAACTGAATACAGATTAGATTCAAAACTTTCATCCATTTCAACATCCTGACTGACTCCACGCTTGTTTTGTACTTCACGTTATTTCCACCACTGGATCCCGTTTTGCAGTGTCTTGTCTAGACTATCCTAGCCCATTGTAATAGTTTTCTTAAACTTTACAAGTGGCCATAGGTGGCAATAATAAAAAGCAAGTGCAGACATAAGAAATTTTGACAAGAAAAACTAGAACCAAGACTGGAAAAATAGAAATATGAAAGAGATGGCAACAAAAATGTAGAGGAGTCAATATCAAACGTATGTTATACCACAGTCCCACTATATATGTCAATTAAAATCAGTACGTTTGCTTAAGAGAATACAAAGTTAGAAGAATATTTTTTCGCACCTTATCGCTACTTTTATACCATATAAGAATTAATTTTAAACGCATAATCATAATAAATGATTTACATAATTTATTATAAAATGTTAGGATTTTTCTTTGTTAAATACTAAAATTATTGTACATATTTAATCTTTTTTTGCTTAAATTAAAAAGTGAATTTTTGTTATAATATTATTAATTGGCTTTTTAATAATATATTTTGTATTATTGTAAGTTATCTAAGCTTCTTGTTAATAATTATTATAAAACGCCGATATTTTTATTAAATACAATATTAAAACAAAATTTCCTTGATTTTGACCTCAAATATTAAACTTAGTTATTATTAATTATTATTATAAATATTAAGTTGTTTTCATAAAATTATTTAATATATATATATAAATAAAAATATTACATTCACATATTTTATTATACTCTAATAAAATTTGAGGCCATATATGCATAAATATATATTTATTTCATTTTGTTTTTATTTGTTAAAAAAATTCTAGTGTATTTAGTTTATATGAAACTCAAAATTAAATCATTTTTATGTTCATAATTAATTCAAAATTAATATAAATGAAATAAAAACAACTATTATATATGTGTTTATAGAAATAATAATTATATTAATATCTAAAGCATTTATCACTGCATAATTTACAAATAAGTTTTTTATAAATAAAAATTATTATAGTTTCATTAATAATTGTGTGTTATTTCTTTTTAAAAAGTTACATACGATTGTCCATTCTATTTTACGCAAATTTTGTTCATCTTAATTTACATAATAAATAAAATTATAAATATTTATTTAGTTAAAATAATTTTACTAAACTTAGTATAGTTACTTTAAAGAAAAAGACTTGTATTAGTTAATAATTATATAAACAATCTTAAAAATGTATCAACAATTTAAAATACAATTTTAATTTCTTAAAAACACAATTATTTTGATTTCATCGATTAAACCTTTTTTTTGTCTCAAGACAACGACAATACAAAGTAACAAAACATATATATAATTAATTATTTTATTTATTATTTTAGCTTAAATAATAAATTGAGATTATTTGTTTTTTCTTTGCGTATTCATATACTAATCCTATCTAAAATTTTGCATAATTTTCGTTAAAACTAATCAATTTCAATCTATCAATTTTTTTTATTGCTTTTTCAACACATAACATACATACTTTTCTATTTCTTATAAATAATTTACTTATTAACATTTTAAAATCATAAAAAATATAAAAGTTAAACAAATTAAATTCAAAAATACAATTAAGTTATTTTTTGATTGTTTGCTTTTATTATTGTTCTGCATTATCTATTAGTTTTATTCATTTTATTTACGATCTATGGACTTTACTTCTAACAACTGCGGATAATTCTCAACAATATTCAGCAGAATTGTATCGATGTAGTGCTTGAGACGTGTGTTTTCATCTTCTTTTTCTTGGTAAGCTTGTTGTAACTAAAATAAAAAAGAAAATAAATTATTATACATTGTATATACCAATATAACTTATTTAAAAATAAATGCGGATCCGGATATTAGAAATCACAAAATATATATTTATTTATATAATAAAAATATAGATAAGATATAACACCTAAAACTTCCATGCAAAAAGAAGTTGAAGTAAGTAAATATGTTATAAACCATATTGTACAATATACACAAAGAGCTTATATGTTATATATAGAAATCTATATAAAATATATAACAGATAATATAATTTTTAAAATTTCACTACATACATTTCTTTTTTATTCTTAATTTATATAAAATTAGTTATATTTTTTAATTGGAACGAATTCATTCAGTGAAACTTTTGGATAATTATTATCTGTAATTTCAATATTCTTTTTCTCTTATTCTCCCATATATTGAAAGCTTATTACTCGTTACAGTGCGCCATTTCTTCAAACTTGCTTTATATCTTTTCTTCGTTCATCGTTTTCTACAGTAAAGGTCTTAATTGATGCACACATCGAATATAAATTTAAGGAACTAATTTACTAAACAAAAAATTTTGTAGATTTATTGTAATTGTTGATTTCATCATATAACATCCTTAGTTATCCCTACGGGAGAGAGCTTAGAATATTCTCGAGATATAGTATACATGTAACAAGAGGCAAATTAAATCTAGTAAATACCACCGGAAACCGTTTGGAGTAGAAATGGTGTAGTAAGTGATTTCAATTGTGACACCCGACCATAGATGTAAATCTAGTACCATGAGGATCAGGGACCACACCCTAAGCTGTACTTGCCAATAGAGGTTACAAAACGGGGTAACGGGAGTATCGTAGTGTTTAGGGTTTAAACCCAAAATTATGCAGGTAGAATGACTATATACATTATTTTTATTCGATGTGTTGCAATTTTTATCCAGATACTTAGAGCCAAAGCACGGCAGAAGTATTAGAAGATTTCAAGAACAGTCGAGTCTACATCTCGCAGGCACTTGTCAATCTCTAGGATTAAGTGCCATTCAACGTTATCCAATGGGATTTTACAAGCAGGTCCCAACGGGTGACCACAACAACAGAGGTGTAAGAAAGGTCTCGCTTTTTTCCAAGAAATGAAACTATATCCAAAGGTACCGACGGAATTCCTTAGATGAGATAATGTTTTGGTCGTAATATGATTCCACATTTACTGACTAGTAGGATAAAATTTCTCATAGTAAATTATATTATTAGAGTGACATCTTCATATCGTGTTGCGACTAACTTTTAGTCGCAAGCATATAATATCAATTATATGTATTAATAAAACTATATTAGCAAAAGACAGAACTTTGCCTAGTACCTAATACATATTCAGCTTTATATATATATAATATGTGTTATTTAGTTCAGTTTTTCCCCGTAATTTTTTGTTATCATACAGACTTTTTACCGAAAAAAGAAAATGAACTTTAATATTTCCCATTTTTTTTTTATTTGGCAAGGTTTAGAATATTTCTCTGAAGCATTTTTTTCACCGATATAGATATACCTGTTTCGCATATTTATGGTGTCAGGTATGGTGTCCCGTATTAGTTGAAGTAACCTTTTGCTGGTATGCTGAATAAAGCACTTTGACAATAGTTCATTTAATATTCTTTGTAATGATTTATAATGAAGTGCCAACATCAATTCAATGTTCAAGCCTTGAATCGTTACAGTTTTATTCATCTACGTGGCAGCTCCACATAATCTGGTCTCATAGTCGTTGTGATTTTAAATGATCATTAAACTTTTTGTATATAATTTAATATTTCTCTGTCATCATTAGCTTAATTTGGAAGATTTTTGGACATAAGGATATTTTAAAAGATTTTATTGACAGTAACTAGGTGTATTCATTTACGAAAGACAACTGATATTCCTGTTTTTAATCTGATGAACTGCAACTATATTAATAGCCGTCGTAATTTTACGTGTGATTTTACTGTTTATATTTCCTTAAATGATTTAAAGTTAACTTTACTAATATTGGTCTGTTTAATCTCATCAATATAAAATAAAGATAATTAGTTGAATATTATTAAAAAAAAATTTTTAAATACCATAAATCTCTAATATGATTTATTAGATTATCTAATGTAATTTTAATTAAAATCATTCATATTCATATTTAATATTTATATTATTTATATCAATATCTAAATTTATGTTTATATTTATATTCATTAAATTTGATTTTAACGTCAATATGACAGAAGTGAGCTACAACAATGACTTTGGGTCAGTTAATTAAGGAGCGCTGAATCTGTGCTTCAAATTTAGCAGGGCACGAATTCGATTTCTGGTGTTTGCAGTCTCAAAAAAAAAAAATTTACGAATAATTAAATACAATAACTATTTTAAAGATCAGTGATGATGGTATATGGCAGTACTTGAAACAGCTGTATAATCAGTCAAAAATTCAATTAATTAAAGTAATATAAAAATAATTCTTGTAGCTCACTATTTTCGAAACTTCTCTATTTATATTTATATTAATTATTTATATTTATGTTTATATATATATGTTTATATTTAAATTAATTATTTATATTTATATTTACATTTTTATTATTTTACATATTTATATTTACATTTAAATTATAACCTAATAGGTTAAATTATAACCTTTTTGAGGAATTCTATTTTAATTTTTATCAAATATTAAGATTATATACATTATATATTTAATTTTTATCAAATATAAATGTTAAAAAACATTGATGCAATGATGTGTATGTGCAATGTGTCAATAACATAAATTAATGAGAAGCATGAGGCATAAGTGTAGATGAAAACATATATTTTTCAAAGCAAAGTACATTGTGACCGAAAAGTTTCCGGTCATAAATAAATAAAACGCAAAATTCTTAATCTTCATCAATATTTATTTTATCTCCTTCAAAATATGCTCCATTAGAAGCGATACAAAATGCCAACGTTTCTTCAATCATCAAAACATTTTTTATAGGCGCTTTCCGGTATGGCTTTGAGTTCCCTCTGCGAATTCTGTTTTACGTCTTCTATGGATTCAAAACGCGTTCCTCTGAGTGGTAATTTGAGGTTGGGAAACAGGAAAAAGTCACACGGTGCAAGATCAGGTGAATACGGTGGCTGTTCGATGGTATTTATTGAATGTTTGGCCTTAAAATCGTTGATAATGTTGAACAAATTGAGGTGAATCGGAACAAGCCGGGCGTTGACACGTCGCATACACAAATTGTCCACCAAAATCAAACGAGCCATCTCACGACCGATGCCTAGCTCTCGTGCTATCTCTCTAACACTCACATGAGGATTTTTGAACACGATTTCCTTTGCCTTTTCAATGTTTTCGTCGGTGGTAGAGGTCGAAGGTCGTCCAGAACGCGGCATGTCTTCGACGGTCGTACGACAGTCCTGAAAGGCTTTGTACCACTCATAAACTTGAGTTTTCGATAAAACTGATTCCCCATAAGCCTTTTGTAGCATTCGCAACGATTCTGCACACGAAATTTCGTTCGAAACACAAAATTTGATGCAAACTCTTTGTTCAATATTTTTTTCCATTGTTTTTTTCGCAACGCACTACTGAGGTGAACTGGTTTCAACAGCTGCCGTAAACGAACTGTCTGACAGATCGCGCTCATTTTTGGCATAGTAATTGTCCTTAATTGCTGCCAAACTACATAAACTTAAAATATCGAAAAATATACAGCGCGCGAATTTTAAATGAGAACCTCCGAAAACCTTTCGGTCACAATGTATAATTTCATTTTTACTTAAAAACTATTAAGCAATAAATATAATGTAAAAATATACATTTAACTTAATTTTATTTGTGCATTTACAATAATAAAATAAAATCATACAAGAAAGCCATTAAAGACCCTATACCGTGTTTAATAAACCAAAAAACCAAGAGTTAATTGCATATTCGTCAGGATACTCATTGACCAAGCCGAAAGGATAAGGTAAGGTAATTTGCAATATATTTTATAAATAATTATTAATTATTGTTATTTTTACAACAGCAACAAATATTGTAAAATTTACCTGGCTTAATGATGCTAAAGTAGCTGAATCCACAGAATCCTGTAACATATAAACGCAGCGCGAAGAATAGAAAATACAAAAGAATAAAATATTACAAATATTGTTTAATAACTAAATATATTATATATATATTTTTTTATATATAATATACTCTATAAAAGAGAACTATATACTGCGATAATATAAATTAGGTAAGTAAGTATGTTTTTAAGATTAGAAAGCAAAAAGCAAATTTTAAGATAAACCAGAACATCCACGAGTGCAATTTTGTTCGCATTTTATTGAAATTTTATCGCTTAATTATAAAAGTCATATGTACTCTGAAGCCCCGCTTAAATAATGGTGAACACAAAACAGTGACACAATGTGGGTGCTTTATATGGTATGAAATAGCTTACCACTTTTGAATGTAAGTTTGTGTGGTAGATATATAGTAAGGTAGATAAGATTAAATAATTAAAATTTATTTATTATACACACCTGTGCTTGTGACATTTCCTCCAGCTCTTGTGCTAAGCTGTTTAAGGTGCCATTTAATAAGTGACGACCTTCCTCTACACCACGTGTCAGCACAGCAGCTTGCAATTCTTCATTCTGTTCTTCTAAGCCTAGTAAATTTTTTTTAAAAGTAGTTTGGTTTTAAATCTTTTTAACAAAAATTTTTTTTGGTATTTTATAGCTTACTTTTATTTTTTTGTCGCATCTCTTCTAATTCTTGATGCAATTCTTCCAGTCTTATAGTTTCCGGTGACGTTGTTGGCATTGCAGGTCCTGTTTCGGAACGCAATCTCTCAAGTTCTTTGCTTAACTCAAGCATCAGGTCTTCAGACGCTTTTTTGTCTTCCTCATATTTGCGTTCCTTTTGCTTAGCCTCATCGAGATCTTGTTGGAGCATTGTAATTTGATCTCGTGACAATTCCAATTTCTCCTCGGTGCGATGTAAATCATTTGCTTGCTTATCGCAAAGCATTCGCAGCCTTTGTGCTTCATCGCGTAATGCATTTGCTTCAATTTCAATTCTTTTGATTTTAATTTGGCAATTCTCATTTTGCAATTCTGCCTCACGTTCGACACGAGCGAGTAATTCGCGGTGTCTTTTCTGTTCCTCTGCAAGACGTTCCTCAGCACGTAAATCCGACTGTTAATAAAACAAATAAAATATTACTTAAAATTATATTACTGACAACAATAATATTTATAAGTAAGTAAAATGAATAAAAAATAATATCTACATTTTTTCGAAGAAAGGAAAAGTCGTCTACCTAACTTTCATCTTTTCCTTTGAGTTACAGTAAAATTGCCACCTAAAATCTAAATAAATAATAAAGCAGATGGATGATTTACAGTTTCCTGTTTTTCATACTGCATATCAAAAGCATATGAATGACTTATCATAAAAGATATTTTATATATCATATATTTACATACTTTTTTATATTTGTATTTTCTACATTATATTAAAATGCTAAATTTGAGAATTAAACTGCATTTTTTAAGAATACAAAATTGAGCGAGTTTAGGGGTTTGTTTTACTTGGGGAAAGGTTTTGGTTTAATGGAAATCAGAATAAATCCCTCTCAATGTGTAAAATTTTCCGGCAATCAGTTAGGCGTTCTTAAGTTGTAAGAAGAAGCAGAAGAAATGTAAATTGTTTGTTTGATTATTTATACAAATTAGTATAAACCATAACCTCTAGTCTATTTTATGAATGAATCTGTTAGTTACGCACTGCTTATACATTATGTATCATTAGTGTTTAAAAGTAACTTGAAATCTATAATTTAATAAATTAACTGATCACACACAGAATCTTTAATATTATGTTTCCACTGGCTTCGTTAGACCAGTCAACTTACTTGAGATTGCCTAAATTATTTGAATCTCTATTCTGTACCAATCAGAATTATCAGTATAAATTGTTAACATTATTTTATAAACTTAATCCATGATCTGAAGTCGACATACGACATAAATAACCACAACTCTCTTCAAAGCTTCACTGTAAGTTTCTAAGTCAAAAAGCTGAGGCTGAAAGCGATTATAGAACATGGTATCTAAGACACCATCTCCTAAGTTATCAACTCAGACGGGAGGCAGATTATGTACGACTGTTCAGTTTTAAGGTATATTAAAAGGAAAATACTAGATCGGAGTCCCTATCGTTGTCTAATACTATTAAACTCTCAATAAGAGACATACTGACAATCGAATCGATGTCTTCTCTTAGCTTAGGGGGTCAGCTAAAATCACTACAGACGACCAGGGATCGTGGTACTTTCTATTCTAATTCAGAACCTTACATGTTTATTGGTTATTCAAACGAAGCGAAAGCCTGTCGGCTATGGTCACCTACAAAACAATATATAACAAGTTTTCACCCAATGACTAATGGTCATTTATAACAAATGAACGACTCAAAAAGCAGCACAAAATGAGATAAAAATGATAAAATGGAAATGGATAGGCCATACATTTAGACAACCCGGAGATTACATAGCGAGACAAACATTGGCATGAAATCCACAAGGTAGCAGAAGAACTGGTGCGTCGGCGAAAAAGTGAAGAATAGTTCGAAAGTAAGCTAGCACGATATATATGGAGAATTATTGAGGCCCTATTCTCTACTAGAAGTGGACAATAGTAGTAGTAGTAGTAGTAATGGTCTTAGAAGGTTATCGATCAATTTATTATAGTCATTTTTCTAAAACCCAAGGTTCTCACTATTTGTAAGTGTAATGAATACTGTTCACTGGTAGAAAATTTTTATAAAGGTATGTTGTTAATATTGTTTTTCGAAATATATTTTCCACAATTCGACAACTAACTTAACTCATTATTTCTAAAATTGATTACTTATACTATCTACTATATTGCATTTCTGTGAATATTTTTCTATGTTAAAGAAAAAGATATACGTTAATCCGCTTTTGTTAGATTACTTTTGTTAGCAACTCACCTCTCTGTATTGCTCCTCGAGCATGTGATAGCGTGCTTGCAACACGGCATATTCTGTTTTGGTACGCGTTGTACGATCTTCTGCAATGTTTTGGGTAGATGCCAAATCTGTCACTTGACGTTGCAGTAATTCCAGCTAAAATAAAAATAAAAAAAATATTTGTGTTAAGTTTTTTTTCATAAATTTATAATTTTTATTATATGTAAGCAGATTACAATAAATACTAACACAATTATGTTTTAAGAAGTTTAGATCTCCAAGCAAATCATCAAATAAAATATTCGCCATGGAGTTCTTAAAATACATTTGTTCACTTTTTACTTATTTTTTTATTCAAACTTGTATTTTTTTTTTAGACAATTATAAAAAACTATATTTTTTTTTCAGTAAATGTAAAGTATTAAAATATAAACAAAATCAACAACAGTTACGTGTTTGTAATTACTTCGTACACACATGGTTATTCCAAATAATTTATCTTTTTTTTTTGTTAATTAATTAGCACTAACGCTAGAAATTCTTTGTTAAACTCAACAAGTTTAATTATGTGAAATGTGCGTCTCGTCTCGACTCAATACTTGCTACTTAACAACTAAATTACTAAAGAGAAAATAAGCTTCATGAAATGCATCTCAGATATTCTATTTGCGAAGTTGCTTTCAATTAGCGGAGGAACACCACAGCAGAAAAAACAGTAAACAGAGAAAATATGTTGGCGTTCAGTTCAAGTACAGCTAAGAGCTCAAGTTCCAGTTTTGTGTTCGTAAAATATTTTTAATATCAGTAAATATAATAATACAAATTTGTAAAGTTTTGTTCTTTAATCTTTTTGTATTTGCTTAGAATTACTCACATTTCAAACTGAATTATCGCACTGCAAGCAGATACGGATGGAGGAAAGGGCACAATACTGGCCATCATGTGAAGTTGATAACATGCAGCAGAAGCAATCATTTTAATAATGTCAAAAATATTAATATATATATATATATTGTGATATATTATATATATATATATAAATATATAAATAAATAAATAAAAATTTAAATAAAATATGTATAAAATATACATAATAAAATATATATAATATATATAATAACGGCGAGTCCTATCCCCAGGACTTTAAATTTGGGTTGTGCACAGGGTTTGGTACCCGTCACGTAAAATCAACCACCAATGAAGGACGCAAGAATGCCTCGGAACTGGAAACCGAATAACGTTGACGACCAATGCAAACGATTAAAGGACTATGATTTACGGATATGCACCTGGAATGTCCGGACCCTCTATAGGGAAGGTGCCTCTATCCAACTGGCGGAAGCCCTCAATAAATGTAAGGCTGACGTCACCGCCATCCAGGAAATGCGATGGATAGGACAAGGCTGCTCTAAAAGAGCAAACTGTGATGTATACTACAGCTGCCATGCAAATCGACGTGAATTTGGATGCGGTTTTGTGGTAAGCAAGAGACTATCAAAATTAGTCCAGCGATTCACACCGGTGAACGAAAGGCTTGCCACACTCCGTATCAAGGCAAAATTTTTTAACATCACGTTAATTTGCGCTCACGCGCCGACAGAAGAAAAGGACGACTTGACCAAAGATACATTCTACGCGAGACTCGAGGAAATTTATGACCGCAGTCCCGCCCACGACGTTAAAATTGTTCTCGGGGATTTTAATGCAAAGGTTGGAAGAGAAGAAGTCTTTTGTCCAACTGTCGGAAAATTTAGCCTCCATGAATCAACCTCCAACAACGGTCTAAGGCTAATTGATTTCGCTGCGGCGCGAAATATGGTAGTATGTAGCACCAGATTCCCACACCGTGATATTCACAAGGCAACGTGGCTATCTCCCGATCAAGCAACACGAAACCAGATTGATCACTTCGTGATTGACGCAAGGCACGCTTCTAGTGTGCTGGACGTACGTTCATTCCGTGGTCCAAATATCGACTCAGATCACTATCTTGTCGCAGCCAAGGTACGCATGCGGCTTAGTACCGCCAACAACGTACGCTCCAATGTTCAGAAAAAACTAGACGTTAATAAGCTGCGATCACGAGAGACAGCCGAAGCCTTCGCCGCTCAGCTCTCTAGCCGATTAAACAACCAACCCTCCCGTTCCGATAATGCCGGTAGACAGTGGGGACATATCTCTCACTCCCTACGCACAACAGCGGAAGATGTCCTTGGTTTCCAACGTCCCCCACGGCGAAACCGATGGTACGACGAAGAGTGTCGCCAAGCTACTGCTGCGAAGAACGCGGCCTATAAAAGGACCCTGCAGTCAGCAGCAACGCGAACCGTGCATGAACAATATCGGGAGATGAGGAAGGTAGAGAGGTGCCTATTCAGACGGAAGAAACGAGATCAAGAAAGGCGCGAGCGAGAGGAAATCGAGGTGTGTAGAAATAGGAATGATGCCCGTAAATTTTATCAAAAAGTCAACCGTCTGACTCAAGGGTTTAAGCCTGGTGCATCAACCTGTAAGGACGAAAATGGTAATCTGGTTACAGATACGCAGAATGTACTGAAAGTATGGAAGGAGCATTTCTCCAAACTACTATCTGGCGATGATAACATCAACTCTGCCATTGAAGAAATGCCCTCTGTATCCCCAATCGAAAATGATGATGTTGAAATTCCACCACCTAGCCATAACGAAGTGCGTGTTGCTATACAGCGACTTAAGAACAACAAAGCGGCAGGCGCAGATGGCCTGCCTGCTGAATTGTTCAAGGCCGGCGGCGATATGCTGATAGGGTGCATGCATCAGCTTATCTGCAGAATATGGTTAGATGAAAGTATGCCCAGCGATTGGAATCTCAGTAGCCTTTGTCCTGTCTTGAAAAAAGGTGACCCGACGATTTGCGCCAACTATCGCGGGATTAGCCTGATACCTGTCGCGTACAAGGTTCTTTCAACTGTACTGTGTGAAAGGTTGAAGCCACATGCCAACTCACTGATTGGACCTTATCAGTGCGGCTTTCGACCTGGTCGCTCCACCATTGATCAGATATTCACACTGCGACAAATCCTGGAAAAAGCCCACGAACATAACATCGACACTCATCACCTTTTTGTCGATTATAAAGCAGCTTTCGATAGCCCCATTAGGGATCACGTTTACGCCGCAATGTCTGAGCTCGGTATCCCTGCAAATTAATTCGACTTTGCAGATTGACGCTGTAGTATACCGTAAGCTCGTCACGGTGGAGATCGAGTCTCCCTCTGGATACCTTCTGATCTACGTGGGTCGATGGTCTTTAGAGCAAAGGTGTAATCCTCGCTTATGGACCTCTTCTTTCGTCATGGAAGAATGTCATGCGCGGGAGGTGTTTCATCTAATGGACAACTATTTCGACAAATGTGTCCAGCTCCTTGCTTACGGCGATGACATTGACATCATTGGGCGTAGCAAGCGTGATGTTACAGCTGCTTTTGCTGCTATCGAAAAGGAATCTGCAAGAATGGGTTTAGCGTTGAATGAGGGAAAAACGAAGTATATGTCGGCTACTGGTAGAAATGTGCGTCGCTCGAACACCGGGCTAGTGGCTGGCGACTATACTTTCGAATCTGTCAAGGATTTCATCTACCTTGGCACCGCCGTAACGAATACAAATGATGTCAGTCTGGAGATCAGATGAAGAATCACCATTGCTAATAGATACTACTATGGGCTCAGTAGGCAATTGGGATGTAGAGCTCTCTCTCGACAAACGAAACTTACCCTCTATAGGTCGCTCATCCTTCCTGTGCTTCTGTATGACGCAGAAGCATGCACGTTATCACAGAATGATGAAGCAGCACTGGGAGTGTTCGAGAGAAAAGTTCTTCGTAAGATCTTTGGTCCTCTACGAGTTGACGACGACTACCGCATTAGAATGAACCACGAGCTGTACGAGCTTTATCACGACATTGATATAATTCAGCGCATTAACATCCAGCGGCTTCGCTGGCATGGTCATGTCGTGAGAATGGATGAAGACGCTCCGGCGAAAAAGGTGTTTGAAGCAGTAGTTGGCGGAAGAAGACGTAGAGGTAGAGCGTGTCTCCGGTGGAGTGATCAAGTTGAGGGAGCATTAACTGGACTTGATATACGAGACTGGAGAAGGCGCGC